GTGGGAAAGAAAGGGGCTAAAGGAACATCGATAGGTCCCTGCCAAGTTGGGGAGACATTTGGGGCCCCATGCTCTGGTTCCCAGGCAGGAGGGGAGTGAAGCACTCTCTCACACACATCACTCTTGCAGAGCGGGAAGTGAAGGACTGATGACAGGACAGTCTCTTCCTACAAGCCAAGAGGGTCGTGAACCCAACATAACTCTCACAGAAAAAGTATTATTAAAAACAAGACGGGGAAAAAGCTTCCTAGCATTTGGCCTGCAGAACAGAAAATAGCATTATTGCTGGAGCAGGAGCAAGTATGAAATCCCTGAAAATATTCATTTTAGTTTCCAGTCAAGCTTCCATGACCTAGGGCACTGTTATAATGCAACAGTGTAAATGCTGTTGAAGCCGGAAGTGTCTTTTGAACAGAATAAATTAAGTAGATAAATGCATTTGATATATTGTACAGTATATTCTTCGGACTTGCTGCACATCTTACTGAAAACCAGAGGTCCCCATGCTGCATAGCATATCTTCTGGTACAAATTTTCTGCAAATTCCAGTGTCATTTCCCAACTGTGACTGCAAATGAAATTCCACAAAATTTGAAGCACTCGAGAGAGTAGAGGAATATAATGGCACCCATTTTATGGTTTAGGAGACTGCGAAGGAACTTAATGTAGATGATTTGGAAAGTCAGAGACATCAACCTGAATAATACTGCAGGTCCCATAGTTATATTATTCTCCTTCTGTTTAAACAGCCTCAGATAAAAAGTACTTGATTGGGAAAGTTATATGGCTTAGCACGTGGCTATAAGATTATAATACTTTTCTGCTGCATGATTTTCTTAAAAGTATGTTTGATTGAAATTAAGAAAGCTGATTTATTAACTCAGCTGGAAGACTCATCGCATGAGAATGGAGATTTTACCCAGGCACCTCTATTTATTATGGTCATTTGCATGCTACCTACCCTATGGGAACCCTGCTTTTCCCTTTCTACTTGGTGAAATCCAGTGGGAAGGTAAATTGCGAAAATTATGGAGATAGCTCAAATCCATGTTCTAGGCTGTACTAGACATATATCAAAAAAGTTTTCCTTCAACTAAGAGAATTTGTTTGGAAGATATCCCTTCTAAAGCAAAGCAAAGGGAGGCAGTAGTGAGACTGGGAAAACTGTTCAGCTCTAAGATCAATGAGATCAAGTGTGTAGAAATTTATTCAGTAGGTTAGGTAAAATATTGGTGATTTCAGTGTCCCCACACCCAGAATAAAAATGGTTGGCAGTTCCTACAGAAGGAAAGAAAAATGAGATAAATTCCTGCAATGATGTTTTAGATTATCCAGGAGTTTGCAGTGTAGCTTATTGCAGTAGGTGAGTCCTGTGGAATGACTTAGTTGCTAGGTCCGGTTGTCAAGTGTCTATCTTTCACTTGGTCTCTTCATTATAGTGTCAAAATGTCTCTTATGTAGATAGGCTGAGAGGAAGAGATTACTAGCATGGGCACAGCACGGCACTGGGTAGAGCTATTTTCATCCCCAGCTGGGATCTCAGCACGCAAAGGGGCTACACTGCACCAGCTGAATGCCACAAGCAAAGCCTGCATCTGCATCATGCTGTTCCATGACGGCTATGAGGTCAACAAGCGCTGGTGAAATTTCTTAAATCATGTTGATTCCTGTAAGACAATGACAAAACTGCTGTTGACTCCAAGAGGAATGCATTCAGACCACAGGTCACGGTCACAAAAAGTCCTGTGACAGAGCTGAAACAGAAACTCTCAGATTTCTGTTATTACCTTAAATAAAAAAATCCATCTTCCCATTGTGAACTGAAGCTCCTCCCTTTCTAAAACTTTTTTTTTTATTTTATTTTTCCTGAAGTATTTAGGACAGTTTGTTCATGGTCCCAGTTTACCTGAGCAGTTTGCATACTTGCCCATAGAAAGGAAAATTTTCTGCCTCGAAGTGATTGACATAAACTGCAGTTGTAACAAGGACCTTCCAGGGAGCAGGGGAGAGTAGGAGGGGATGAGAGAGATTGTTCCCGTAGAACAACTGAGTGAAATTGTAGTTTTTATTACGCTTCATTGTTAGCCCTTACCTTTCTATGGCCTCTGCTTCCTCACTTCTATAAACTAGACCGTTATTGCCCTAAATCCTGAAATGGACCTTTTAACCAGAGCTGCTTTACTATCCAGCCTCACAGCATTCTCATTGAATCCAGTTTGTAAACATTCTGGGGCACTCAGAGGACAAATGATTATATGTTTGGAAATACATTATAGAATATTTTATTTCCTATAGCTTAATGGAAATTTAAGATAGTGTTCTAAAAAGAATTTACTTGACAGTCGCAGAAGTCTTTTCACCGCAGAGGGTAGATATGTTGAGCATCAGCCTGGAGTATACTTTGCATTGCATGATGATTTATTTGCTAAGCACTGAGGAATATAAGAGCAGGTTGCGGTGGATGTGAAACAAATGAATTCTTCATGTGAGCGTATTGGATGTGTCCGCTGGTGTGAAGCTGTGGTTTGATGTGATTGTGCCTTTACAGGGCAGGTTTGATAGTGTGCTGACTAATGACTGGCTAAAGCAGGTGTTGGTGTCAGCAGGGCTGTAGCTGTTTAGCTCAGAAAGCGTGGGGTTCCCATTTCAGAAGAGTGATTCTGGAACATGCAGAAAACGTTCTGCCTCATTAGAGGTTGAGGGGGAGAACTAAATTGTGAGGCTGCAAAGACAATAACCTCTTGTTTTCTCTAGTGAGCTGCCATCCTTTCCACGTGCTGCAGATATTTTTGCAGATGGCAATAAACTTACATTCTGGCACGCCTCTTTAACCTTCCTAACTGCATCTTGGTTGTTTAGGCATTGTACTTGACCCACGTCAGGAATTTTCTTATTAAATGACTTGTCACTAGAAAAATGCTGATTCCTTGATAGAAAGTGTTTTGTGAGAGAATGTCAATGCTGTGAGCCACTGCCAAAACGCAGAACGCTTTTAATAGAAATTCACCTTCTGGGCAGATTCCTTCTTACTTCATCTGCTGCACTGCTAAGAAAAGAAGATCCATAAAGAAAACTATTATCTTGAATGCTTATTCTTACTGCTTTGAGATACTCTTGCTAGAAGACACAGTTAGCCCAAAGAGCACCTATACAGAAAGAAGTAAATTTTTTAACCTGACATTTTAGGTTTTTTTGTAATCTATTTTGCAACAGGTAACAGTTTAATGTGTGTTAGCATAAACAATTTTCGGTGACATATAAAACACAGTAGTGAAAAACAGCATTCGTAAAGTATTAACAAAAAGTACTGCTAAAAATTAAACTCTGATTTCCCTATTTTTATATAAATGGTATGGCATCAGTGAGGCTTTTGTCCAGCTCCCTAGATCTGAGTGATTTCTGAACACCTTGTTGCAAAATCTGTCTGAGTTTATTGCTCTTCTGCCTTTCTCCGTATGAAGATTTCCTTGCTTGGTTACAATGTTGGAATGCCTAAGAGTTTGGCAGCTCTCTCCAGTAAGGACATTTGTTTTTTACATTCTTCTGAGTGAGAGCCTGAGCTACTTTATTTACTCTTCAAAGACTCTAAATATTCTGAACCTGAACATTTTGGCTGTCGTTCACAGCTGAAATTAATGTATGGTCAAACATACGTGTTTAACCTCTAGAGCCGTGCCATAATTTGTATCTATTGGACTGTATTAAGCAACTGCCTTTAAACTTGGAATTGCACTGTAATTAATTTGGTGTTTCTTAAAAGCTCCTTTTGTTACAGTGCTGTCAAGACTCTATGTGTCTTTGTTTTTTGTTTTTTTTTAATGTTTCTACCTGAAACAAATGCCTGTCCCATGCTAAGAATATTTGCTTTAGCTGTCACATGAAGCCAAACTTACAGGGCCCCGGCTGCTCTGGAAAAAAACAACAATAATTCAGCTAGGGACTGAGCATCCCCTGAAACATGAGAGCTCAGATGTCTTCTGTTATCAGCTTATCAAGCTCAGAGGAATCTGTTGTCCTCACTAATTTATCCAGGTTTATATTGCAGAAGTGTACTTGCAGTGACAAAGTTAACCCCTCCTGAAGGTTTCCTGCTCATTTCTAATGTACCTGTATAGAAAAGAAGCATTAGAATTTATGTTTTCCGTGCTTTTCTTTAATAAAAGCTTTACAGAGGACACTTATCAGTGGTTATAACAGCTTGTTATGATACAGTTCCTTTTATTTTGGAAACATTTACATTAGGTGGAGGCGTTAATGTACTTGAAAAAAAAGGTACATGGTAATAGTGAGTGACAGGAAAGTGGTACAGCCTCTAAGAGAGCTTGTCTAGAGCAGTTCAAGCAAATCTCAGTATAGACTGTTTTGCCTTTCTACACTTTGCTTGTTCTTCCCTCAGCCTGTTTCTGTTCCCATTCCCCCTCCTTCACACCTTCACTGACAATTGCCTGACAACAATTTGATTCAAAGACCTGAAGGGTTAGAAAACTCTTTGCAGTCTTGGCAGGTGTACTTTCATGGCTTAGTGCCCATGAGGTGGCTGAGAACCAGAGCAGGCACAGGGGCAGGAACATGTGGTAGAAGGAGGGATAAAGCAGGAAAGGTGTTAGGGGACAAATTCTTTATGACGCAGCAGAGATGAGATCTCAGGAAGAAGCCTTTGGATTTAAACAAAGACAAGGAAAGTCTGTTTACTTTCACTCCCTGAAATGCTCACATTATCTATTAATTGAGCAGACTTGTAGACGCTGTGGTAAATCTCTTTATGACTTTGTTTTGCCCCATCTCTCATTGTATTTGTGATAAAGAAATGCCTGCTTATCTGTTTGATGAAAAGCATCTCCCTGTGTTTCCTGGACCTTTAATCCTGGCTATGAATGGAAGGTTTGTCCCTCCTTCCCCAAACCCTATATATACCAAAAAGTTGTAACCATTAAATGATTCAGTTTTATACACGCAAACTATATCCATGCCATGATTAAACAAATGGTTCTTGTGAACAGGGATGTGAAGCCTGGACTGGAATAAAGGCAAGGACAAAGGCTCCTGCTCCAGTAACGAGTTGCTATTGAACGGAACGGAAAGCGTGCTAAAATAGTACCTCTCCACTGCACGGAAAGGTAAGCATAAGGGCAGATTTAAAAGCCTGGAGGCCAAAAAGAGAGCCTTCAGATCGAAACAAAAACTGCTTTAAGCACCCAGGGGCCAAACTAAGAACCCCGAAACAAAACGCCTGGCAAATAGCTGCCCACATCAAAAAGACTGCTTAGGAAATGGGATCTAAAATGTCCTCAGAACAAAACACAGTTTACAAACAGATAAAATGCCTGCTTAAACAACATGGGCTCAAAATAGAAGACCCTTCTTTGCAAAATTTACTCCTGTGGGCACTGCAGAATCATCCCGGGTTGAATGTTACTAATGTCTTTGATGACGCGGAATGGGATCTCATTGGTGTCAGGCTATCGGACTCTGCGACAAAGGGAGACAAACAGGCTACCGACCTTCTCGGAACCTGGAGGGCAGTCTTTCAGGCTTTAAAATCCCACACAGCTAAAAAGTCTGAATCTGTCGTTACCGGTGACTCCAGCCACCCACCAGAGAGTGCGGCAGGGGAGGAGCTTGCCCCACCCCCCATACCGCCGGTACATGCTGCGAGGGAGGGGGAGTGCCAAAATAGCGGCGGCTCCTCTGCACCCCGCTCACTGAACAACTCTAAAGTCCCTACCGCCCGGGGCCCTAATGAAAATTCAAGGGATTTCAATCCCTTTGACTCTAAAAAGGAGGTCAGTTCATATCTTCCTGACCCTCCTGATAGATGGGCACAAGTGAGGCAGGAGGCTGCTGCAGCAGGAGACATAGAAATGCTGAAATATCTTCCTCATCCACCCCGCTGGGAAAATATTCCGTACCAAGTCCTGAAAGAATTGCGAAAGTCAGTCACTGATCATGGCTTAACTGTTCCGTTTACAATGGGGCGGTTAGAGATTGTGTTTGATTCCTTTACTTTAATCCCACTTGATTGCGAAGCAATTGCAAGAATGATTCTCACTGCACTGCAATTTAGTATTTTTAAAACTGAGTGGGAATATTTGGCCCAGAGAGCTGCTGCAGAAAATGCAACCAGTCTAAACAATGTAAATAATCTAACAGCACAACCTATAATTAGTATGGAAATGCTTCTGGGGACAGGACCCTTTGCCACTCCGACAGCGCAAGCCCAACTGCCAATTCATGTTCTGAACGAAGCTAAAAGGCTAGCTTTTCGAGCTCTTCGCGAAGTTCCAGAGGTTGCGACGGCTCGTCAGTCTTTTGTTACTATTCTTCAGGGACCGCGAGAAACATTTATGGAATTCACTGATCGTTTAAAAGATGCAATTGACAAACAAGTAGGGAATAGTACGGCACGAGAGATTTTGTTCGAACACTTTGCAATAAAGAATGCTAATATAGATTGCCAAAAAATATTACGAGCCTTACAGAACCCCACAATTTCGGAAATGCTTCGAGCCTGTCAAAATGTGGGTTCATATTCTCATGAAATGACTGCTTTAGCCGAAGCATTATCTGCTTTAAGAGGACCTTCTTCGTCTCAGCTATGCTATGGCTGTGGTCAGCCTGGACATTCTAGAAAGCAGTGTCCGAACAAAAAACCTACCAGACAGCCTGGTTTATGCCTGCGCTGCCGCAAAGGTTTTCATTATACTCAAAAGTGCCACTCAAAATTTACCCGGGAAGGTAAACCGCTTCCTTCACAGGGAAGGGGTAAAGAGCAGTCGGGAAACTTTTAAGGTGAGCACATCGGGACCCCATGCGATGACAGCAAGTGCTCCCGAGTTTCAGCCCAGCCACTCATACTAACCAGCACCTTACGAGCACCCACCTCAGGCAGCGCTGGGGTGGATCTGGCCTTCACAACAACAGCAAAACTACATGATAATAACGTACATGTAGTTCCAACAGGGGTCCAAGGTCCACCGGGAAATAACTGTAGTGCATTATTAATCGGCTGCTCATCAGCAACTCATCTTGGTATTTTTGTGCTACCGGGAATCATCGACTCTGATTATATGGGAAAGATTGAGATGATGATGAGGACTCCTATGCCTCCCTGCCGTATTGAAAAAGCCACCATTATTGCTCAGTTAATTCTCATTCACACCTACCCCCCTGGATGCAGTAACTGAATAAGAGGAGACCAAGGCTTTGGTTCAATGGGAAATAACTTAGTGCCCGTAGATGCTTTTATCTCTTGGGCACAGCCTCTGTCTGCTCAGCGCCCAACTTTAAGCTGTCAGTTGTACAATACTGTGGAAAAGGGTATGGTCCATATTAATGGTTTAGCAGACACTGGAGCTGATGTGACTTTTATTTCTGCCCGTGTGTAGCCCCCCTCTTGGACACTCATTGAGCCAGACAAAACTGTGAGGGGAGTCATAGGTCTAACCATACCAAAGCGGAGTCTGCACCTGATTTTAATTACTGGTCCTGAAGGTCGCTCGGTGACACTGTCCATATGTTTTAAATATACCCCTCACTTTGTGGGGCCGAGATGCCTTAGGACAATGGGGAATTGGACTCAGCACAAATTTATCATGATGGCCACTGAGCTGCAGCTAGTCCCCACTCTCACTTGGCGAACAGAAGAGCCTGTCTGGGTGGATCAGTGGCCACTTCCAGAGGACAAGCTGCGTCAACTTCAACTACTTGTTAAGGAACAGCTCGACTGAGGGCATATATGCCCTATGACCAGTCCCTGGAATTCCCCTGTTTTTGTAATTCAGAAAAAGAATGGCAAGTAGCATGTACTGCGTGATTTAAGATGCATTAACAATGTTATTGAACCCATGGGAGCTTTGCAACCAGATCTTTCCTCTCCCATCTGTGTTACCCCAAGATTGGCCACTAATTATCATCGATTTGAAAGACTGTTTTTTAACAATTCCTTTACATTCCAATGATGCAAAGCGATTTGCCTTTTCTGTGCCAACTTTAAATGCCAGTGAACCTTATGCTCGTTATCACTGGAAAGTGTTGCCTCAGTGATTAAAAACAGTCCAACCATTTGCTAGTTATATGTAGTTACAGCACTATTGCCTGTGCACCAACAATATCCAGAAGCCTACATTTACCACTATATGGATGATACTTTGATCTGTGCAGCTAAAACAGAATTGACACAACTAGTGCTGAAAGCCATAATTGCAGCAGTCACTGCCTATGGTCTAAAAATAGCACCAGAGAAAATCCAGCAAGATGCTCCTTGGCATCATTTAGGGTGGATAATAACACAAACATCAATTCAACCACAACATGTTTCTCTAGAAACATCTGTACAAACTCTTAATGACCTGCAAATATTACTGGGAGTTATTAATTGGCTCAGACTAGTGTTATGCATTACTACAGTTAAATGCACACGTTGCTTACCGTCTTAAAGGAATGCCCAGACTTAACTTCTCCTCGACAATTACTGCCCGAAGCAACCACTTCCGTGCATGCTGTGGAACAAGAACTGAACTCTTGTCAAGGCAATCGTCGCCTTTTAGATGAACCAGCAGTGTTAGTTGTCCTAACGGGACCTGCTCAGCCTTTTAGACTTTTGGGTCAACTGTTAAAAAAGAATTCTGATTTTTGCTTGTGGGAATGGTTCTTTCTAGCACATCAATTTCCAGAAGCTGTAATGACTCAAGCAGAAATGATTTCACGAATTCTCCGGAAAGGACGACTTTAATGTTGGGAACTTTGGGGGTGTGATCTACACACAATATACTTGCCTTTAACAACAGAAAGCTTGAAATGACTAGAAAAAACCAGTTTGGATTTCCAGACTGCCATAATCAATTATAATGGGCAACTGAGTATTCACTTACCTGCTTGTGCTTTTTTACAGCAACTAAACCACTTGCCATTGAAGCTGAAGTCTCATTGGTCCCCAGTCCCCTTATCAGATGCACAAACTGTGTTTACTGATGGCTCTGGATGCACTGGAAGAGCTGTAGTGGTATGGCAAAAGGATGGTGTATGGCAAAATGATATACACCAATTTAGTTGGGTCACCACAACTTGTGGAATTTTCCGCAGTTGTCCGTGCCCTAAAATTGTTTCAGGGCCCTCTTAATATAGCTTCAGATTCTCAGTATGTGGTTGGCATTGTCTAATGCATTAAACATTCCTATCAGAAAGAAATAAATAACAAACCACTGTTTGCATTGTTTCAAAGGCTAATGTTTGTGGTTAGTAACAAGACAGTCTCTGTTTTTTACAGCGTGTGTGTTCTCACATCGCATTGCCCGGACCAATGACAGAAGGCAACCGGTGTGCTGACGCGGTTGCACGACCTGTAATAGTGCCCCAATTGTTTGAACAGGCTAAATTGTCACACAACTTTTTCCACCAGAATGCAAAGTTCGAAAAACCAGTTTGGCCTTACACTTGACCAAGCCCTTTTTATCATTTCATCCTGCCCAGATTGTCAACAAATCACCCCCTTAACTCCAGAAGGAGTTAAACCCCGAGAGCTAGAACCACTTCAAGTGTGGCAAACCGATGTTACCCATGTACCATCTTTTGGCAGACTAAAATGGGTACATGTCTCTATTGACATCTTCTCTGTATTTTTAGTTGCCGCAGCTCATTCTGGTGAAAAGAGTCGTATATTCAATGCCATTTTCTTACAGCCTTTGCTCATATGGGTGTTCCCAAACAGGTTAAAACTGATAATGGACCCTCCTATGTATCTGCCTGTACCCGTGAGTTCTTTGCCCAGTGGGGCATTGGAACATGTTCCAGGAATCCCACACTCTCCTACTGGACAAGCAGTACTTGAACGTGTGCATTGTATGCTCAAAGAAATGCTGCAAAAACAAATTAGGGGGAGTGTGGGGTTGACTCCTCAAGAATGTTTAAATAAAGCGTTATATGTACTTAATTTTTAAAATTGTTTAGTTGGGGACTCTGCCCCAGCTCAATGCCATTTTGTTCCAGCACACAACCCGATGGAAGGTAAAGCTGAAGTGTTGTTTAAAGACCTGAGCACAGGACATTGGCCAGGTCCTCACCCATTGATAACCTGGGGAAAAGTTACGCTTGTGTTTCCAGAGTCAGAGGACATACCGTTTTGAGCGGCCGTATCTTACACCATCTTCCTAGTGACAGGAATGCCTCCTGACTGGACCATCCCCAACCAATGGAACGTCTGGGTGACCCTCGCCAATGTGATTGGAACTGACACGTTATGCCTGCCTGTAGCTACTCTATCAGATCCATTTTGTACGTGCTTGGTAGGCCTTCCACTCTCCAAGGATCAATGGATGGCCTTTTTAAATACATATTTGTCTCATTGTTCTTACCTTGACACTTACGATACACCCCTGGCAGAATGCACAAATACGAAAGGGCAAAGAGGGAAACAGCCAAAGGGAGAGTATAAAGATCATTTTCCTACCCTCCCTTTAGAACCTCAAGGGATAGATATAATGGGGCAGCTTAACATTTTTACCCTACTGACCTGTATTCAGAAAATCCACTGGCAGTTGATGTGTCAGGAGCTTATCAAAATGACAGCTTTTGGCGTAAACTACCCAGCCCAACTATCATTAAATATGAGCCACATCCAGTTGGCTTGCCCGATGGACTGTTTTTGATTTGTGGACAATGAGTCTGGAGAGGCATCCCTGGTAAGGCAGAGGGTGGGCCTTGTATGTTTGGAAAGCTAACACTGTTTAACCCCAGATAGTTACCCTCAGATAGACCCTTACGCAGCAAAAGCAAACGATTTGTGAACCAATATGCTTCAGACTGTAATTCTAATGTCTACTTTTGTGGCCCAGCAAAGAGAGTTTTTGCCAGCCTCATATCAGGCATAGGGACTGCACACTCTTTAACTTCTTTAGATGGACTTGCCTGTTTGCTTGCAAAAGAAACTAATGCTACTAGTTCAGCTATTGGTGCCTTATTAACCGATGTAGACTCAGTAAGAAAAACAACCTTGCAAAATAGAGCAGCTGTTGATTTTTTGTTATTAGCTCATGGACATGGATGTAAAGAATTTGAAGGACTTTGTTGTATGAATGTCAACGATAATTCTTAATCAATATATCAAAACATTGATAAGTTGAAACTTTCAGCTCAACTTAAAGAAGATGATGAAGAAGAGTTAAGATAGTTTCAATAGTTTCTTGATATGTTTCTTGATAGTTAAGATAGTTTCAATAGTTTCTTGATATGTTTAGTGTAGGACCTTGGTTAAAGAAAGCATTTATAGTAACATTATTGGGACTGTTTGTATTCCTTTGTATTATGCTTTGTATTCCCTGTTTGTTATCCTGTATACAACGTATGATTAAAGTTTTATACAAGTTTCAATTTTGCAACTTGAAAACAAAAAAGGGGAATTGTTGGGGAACAAATTCTTTATGACACAGCAGAGATAAGAAGTGATCTCAGCAAGAAAGCATGGGATTTAAACAAAGATAAAGAAAGTTTGTTTACATTCACTCCCTGAAATTCTTGCATTATCTATTAATTAGGCAGACTTGTAGATGCTGTGGTAAATCTCTTTATGACTTTGTTTTGCCCCATCTCTCATTGTATTTGTGATAAAGAAATGCCTGCTTATCTGTTTGATAAAAAGCATCTCCCCGTGTTTCTTGGACTTTTAATCCTGGCTATGAATGGAAAGTTTGTCCCTCCTTCCCAAAACCCTATATATACACCAAAAAATTGTAACCATTAAATGATTCAGTTTTATACACACAAACTGTGTCTGTGCAATAATTAAACTGTTACAGAAGGGTTTACCTACAGAGGTTTATGACAATTTGTGTGGGCCACTTGCCTGTGCACTAATAGTCAGGTTTAGGACAACCAGACCTCCCTCTATCAGGTTTCCCAGGAGACTCTGTGATCCCTTTGCCATCCACTGAGGTTTGATGGCTGTACACTGCATAACCAACAAACTCAGGAAAGATAACAGTGGTGCCTGGCACCAGTTCAGCTAATTCGTATCAACCCCCACAAACTGCTGACTCTTCAAAGATATCTGGGAAAGATGGTTATCAAGATGAACCTTTAGGAACCCTACTTTCAGCACTGTGTAATCTTTCAGCACCACAACTATGTTTGTGCTTGGTAACTAAAAAGGATCATGGTGCAGACCCAAAGACTATCACATAGTTTCCCAAACTGTTCAATTTCTTGCACATTCTTGTCACAGTTTTGTCCTGACCAGCTGGTATTCTCCTAGAAAACACCTGGTCACAGTTCAAGGTCAGCATAGGCTACATACCAGCTATACAGTGGCATTCCCAGAGAGTGATGAGGACAAGCCTGATGTGTTTCTGAGGGTTAGCTGCACCAGGCCAGTCATTCTCATGACCGCACGAGGGAACGTGGCCAGTTTTAATTGTGGGTGCATCCCTTCTTTCCTGAGGAGGAGAAATCAATGTGCCCATGAAGACACCTTGGTTGTCACAGATAAATGGAGCTCACTGTTCCTGAGCAATGCTGGTTGATGTCTCTGCTGGTGTGCATTGCTGTTGGCTCTGCAGCAATGAACAGGAGTTATGGCACGTGGCACATTGCCCTCCTCCGCCTCTGTGATGGGTGAGATGCCTTGCTGACAGCACTTTCTCCTGCCATAATTTTAAATGGCTTTTCTTTATTCCGCTCCTGTATGTTTAATATAAAGTCATATATTTTTCATGGTGATGATTGGCACATGACTAAACAGGTTAGATCTCTGTACTAGAAATCTCCAACCGTTTCCAATTGCTTAATACTATGACAAGACAACACAAACCCTTTTCTGTCTATAAGCCTGTTTATGCCATTAAAATTAATACAGCTGGTCTTGGGAGACTGCATAAATATAAATACTGAAAAGTATGACTATTTTATAGGTTAATTTTAATTAAAAAGAACTTTATAGTAGTTTTTCATGTCATTCTAATTTTTGTATGTTTTTGGGCAGAGTCGATTGAAAAAAGAAAACACTGTTTTTGGTTTTTTTTTTGCAAAGGAGTTTCCTTTAAATGTTTCTGGTAGAAAATTACTGGACTTGATTTTTTCTCCAGCTCTCATCTGTACTTGTTACAATTTTGACTTGGAATTCAATATATATTACTCCATGCTATTCTCCATTGCTTTGCTACAAAATTCCTTTAGAGGAAAAAGCATTATTTTTAATTGGTTAATTTATCAGTGCTAGTGGAAGAAAATTTAACAAAGGAGCTTGTGGACTCACATCTCAATATTGTGTACTTTCCTTACCTTTGATTCTGAAGTATCGAGTGATCCTACATGGCATGTATAGAACTGTGCAAGTTCTAGAACGTGTACAGCAGAAAGAGACAAAGAAGCTGTTCTTGTTCTGTAGGAATGCAGCCCAGACTCTGTCACCTGCTCTCTGTCTGAATATGCAAATGCATTTTGCTATCTAAGAAATCTTTTTTCTTTTTATTGGTATCACTTTTGAAGTGAAACAGTGCAGAGTAGCTAAAATCACCAGAATGATCTAAAGGTGCCCATGGCCAAGTCCCACAGTGCTTTGTGCACTCAATTATTTGTGTTTCTGTAATTTTTTACCAGAAACACCTGAAGGAAGTTCTTTGCAAAAATATCGAAAAGCATTGTTTCCTATTTTGAATCAACTTTATCCAGCAAATATACAAAATTTGGAAGGACATGCAAAACTACTTTTTTTTTTTTTTTTTTTTTTCAAAAAATTAAAATTTACCTATAAATTAGTCTTTCTTCTCAGTACTTTTATTTAGGCAGCCTTGCAAGTCTTGTTCAGTTCTTGTAGGACATCGGATCCTGATTCTCAAAAATTGCCTTCTGAAAGTCTGAGGGCCGGAATGGAGGACCATGTCCCTTTCCCTGTACTTCATTTGATGCTGATCATGTGAGAATGGGCCTTAGCACCCTGTTATTTGGATCCTTTTCTATGTCCCCCACATCTAACAGGTTTTTTTTCTCCAGTGGTCCCTGGCATCAGTTCAACTAATTTGTATCAACCCTACAAGCTGCTGACTCTTGAAAGATATCTGGGAAAGATGGTTATCAAGAAGGGCCTTCAGGAACCCTGCTTTCAGCACTGTGTAATCTTTCAGCACCACAACTATGTTTATGCTTGGTAACTAAAAAGGATCATGGTGCAGACCCAAAGACTATCACATAGTTTTCCAAACTGTTTATTTCCTGCACATTCTTGTCACAGTTTTCTCCTGGCCAGCTGGTATTCTCCTAGAAAACACCTGGTCATAGTTCAAGGTGTGGCCCAGAAAGCACACTCTTGTGTGTCCATGGACTACGTAGGCACCTTCTTTTGCCCCCTTCTTTCTGGGCTGCTGTAGATTTAAGCAATATGTAGTCACTGCAGTAAGGTTCACAGTAAAAGGCTGATGTGAGAGATTTCTGGAAAGAACTCAGATGTGTAAGCACTTGTGTGTGCTTCTGGATATGAAAGGGTAGAGGCTGCTGCTTTGTGGTGGGTGATGGGGAAGGGAATGTAGACATTCAGATGAGGAATCAACCAGTTCGGTAGTTGATTCAGGGTTTCAATTACGCTTGATCATACAGGATGAGGCAGAAACACGTGGGCTGAATTTTTTTTTGCCTGTTGAATTCATAAAGCCACAGATGCCCTGTTCTATGGAAAAGTGCTGTAACTGTGTAGTAGAGGCTGATGTGAAGGTAAAAGCATGCTTTGAAACATTCTGGGGTGATTCTGGGAGTTAAATTCTCACACAGTATAGCAGGTTTTCCTTTTGCCCTTGGAGACAAATACATAAAAAAGGACCACAAGGGATTCTTTTCTGTTCCCTGTAACAAAATAATGTGTCTATAAGAATCTGATCTCTTCAAGGAGATCTAATACCATTAACTTTATGGTTTTAAACATTTTGAAAAAAGCTTCTGGCTCCAGTATGTTTCCCTTTTACAAATAACAAAAAATGGACTGTATGATATACAGGCAGTTTGGTCCTCTGTCTGCTCCCATTTGGGGACCCACCAAACAAGAATTTATTCTCTGATTCCTTCAGTTTTCATTTCTGTGGAACATGGATATCTATTCTAGTAGGCATTAACAAATATTATTTTTCTCTGCTAGACGTAGTTCAGTCCTTTGACTTTTTATTGTCAAGTATTTTTTCTCTAGTAGTGGGAGCTTTATTTTTCTTGGAAAAATGCCTCAAATAAATGTGGCTATTGTGTCTTATTTGATGTTTTCCAGCCCTTCTAGTAACAACTGTGAATGGTATGCCATTGCTGCCATCCTAATGGGCATCAACAGATTAGACTTAACATGAGGTTAGGAAATTTTGGATTAAAAAAGACTTTTTTACAGGTTTATTTTTTTAGTTGGAGATGGCACAAAAAAGGTTCTCACTCTGCGCTGTTTGCAGCAAATGAATCCACGGGAGACAGACTTTGTCCAGGAAGAACTCTCTTGTAACTGTATTACTCTATTTCTATATACAGACTCTACAGACCCCAGGTCCGAGCTCTCCAGCCAGGCAATAGTTTCCTTATCTCTCCACATACCACACACCCATGTGACTGCTTCCAACCACAAAGAACAACCATGCTTCAAGCAGCTTTCCAGCTTGACCTTGTGATTCTTTTCACACACACGCTAATGTTAGCTCTGGTTCGCTCAGGACCACAATATTTTTGCTTTAGTATTTTCTTCTTTTATCATCCAGGTGGCTGGTGTTGTCTGTCCAGCTGCTCCTACAAGAGGTGGCTGATTAAAGAACAGCATCAGAAAAGAATACTTTAGGTTAATGAATTCTGGATGATATTGAATAACTGTACATTTCTATTGTTCCTATTATTTAAAGATCAGAACATAGTTTTTTTCCTGTTTGCATTGCCACAATAACAGAAACAACACAGAAGCAGATTAGCAACCATAGGACCGCTTTTCTATTACAGAGTTTTGGGATACTGAGTTTGCAATGTCATAGAAGCCCATAGGTGGTTAAGACCATGGGGTTACAAGCGGCCAAGTGTTTGATTTTGATTTTACTTTTTACAATTTATAGATGTAAATAAGAAAAGTGCCTCTCTACTAACGCAGATTTCTTGCAGAGGCAGTGCTGTACTTTAAAAAAAAAATGCTCCCATGTAATCCATAAGAAGATGATAAATACTAGCATCTCTCCTCTGTGAACGATAAAGATGATCATATTTACAATATAATTTAAATTTTAGGAAAACAGGACTTCCAAGAGGACTCGACATTGCCCCAAACTCACAGAAACCAGTACGATTTTTAGTGATGATGTCAATCAAATAAACTAAAGGTGAAAGCTGAGTGCTTTAGATATTTCATACATTTTTGTGTGTAGCAGTTCTATTAATTAAATGTATGGATGCTTCTTTAACACCTCACACATCCTTTTAAAAAGATTGAGAGGATCAGAAAATAAAATTTAACCTATAAACTAAATTGGAAGCAATAAATTAAATGAAGACCAACAGCTGAAAAGAAAGGGAAACCAGGTAAGAGTGACAAGGTACTCAAAGATCAGCAGGATAAATTCTCCCATTCCTTTTATGAGTAGTGGTTGTGGTGTGAGATTGTTCTTCCTTCCACAGAAGTCCCGTGAATGTTCACCAATTATTTCATGAGGAATGGGGAGCATTTGCACATAGAGTTATGTCTAGCATGAACTCAGTCACAAAACCTGGATGTGAAACATCTTGTTAGATCACTGAATCTGTGTACCTCCAGAGGCAGG